TCCTATAGCTGCCATGTAACTGATTGATCGGAAATGCCATAACTTTGGTGTTTGCAAAGTTAGAAAGTTGGGATTTTCTATGGGTTTTATATTTGGCCAATCAATCCAACCCACCAAATTTCATAAGGATCGGCCGACTATATCCTATAGCTCCCATATAACTGATTGATCGGAAATGCCATAACTTTGGTGTTTGTAAAGTTAGGAAGTTGGGATTTTCTATGGGTTTTATATTTGGCAAATCAATCCGACCTACCAAATTTCATAAGGATCGGCCGACTATATCCTATAGCTGCCATGTAACTGATTGATCGGAAATGCCATAACTTTGGTGTTTGCAAAGTTAGAAAGTTGGGATTTTCTATGGGTTTTATATTTGGCCAATCAATCCAACCCACCAAATTTCATAAGGATCGGCCGACTATATCCTATAGCTCCCATATAACTGATTGATCGGAAATGCCATAACTTTGGTGTTTGTAAAGTTAGGAAGTTGGGATTTTCTATGGATTTTATTTTTGGCCAATCAATCCGACCTATCAAATTTCATAAGGATCGGCCGACTATATCCTATAGCTGCCATATAACTGAACGATTGGAAATGCCATAACTTTGTTGTTGTTAAAGTTAGGAAGTTCGGATTTTTTATGAGTATTAAGAATGCATCATATGAATAATTTTGGAGAATATAATTTACAGAGTATTCTGCAAGGGTATATCAACTTCGGCTCCGCCCGAAGTTAGCTTTCCTTTCTTGTTATAAATAAGAAAAGTAATCTTAATGTGGAAATTAGTTAACAGTAACATAACATTTGAATATCAGTTTTAAATTGTATGATATTCAATTAAAGAAACAAGAAAAAATGTGTTCTACAAATAAGTTAGTTCATTTTTTTTATTTGCATAATAATGAAAAAATATAATATAATACAATAGTTTTACAAGTTTAACAAGAGTTCTTAAAATGTATTTCCTGAAAACCCCACACCTCCTTAATAATACACTTCCTTCCTCCACCCAAATTTTCGTGAATACGATCAAAGACTCCCCTTATTAGAGATTGAACGTGCCGAAATTGGCGTTATGTAAATGGATATCGATACGCGATCATCGCCAGGCTGATTGATTGATTGATTGCCATTCAGGGCAGGCAGCACCAAGTATAAACAGCGATTGCGAAGGACAAAGGATGCCTGTGGCTGGCATTTGCGGGCGGTTTGTTTTCTATGCGCAATTTATAAAGTTGCTGCCACAATAATGGGAGCCAGGACACCACGCCAGGAGCAGCGGCCAGGATCACCTCGCCGCATGGCACCTCCGCCTTAAATTCTCGCGAATTAATTTAAAAAGGAGCTGAGATTGCGGTCGCATTTATAAAGTATTGTATTACCAGGAGCCGGGAGCTGGCATCCAGGATTGGGATTGGAATCGGGATCGGGACCAATGGCAGCGGGATCCGCCGAGCGTCCCAAGTTTGCCCGCCTTGATAAGACATAAAAGGTCCTCCAAGACAAAGGACCTCGGGCCCAGCAATTGCCCAGGCATTTCCTCGAGCATGTTCTTGCTTTGCGCCTTCTTTTCCCTCGATTTCTTATCACGGCAAAAAGATCAAATTTCGAGAGGGAGCACATAGAGAGCATTTAAGAGGGAGCGAAAAGGAGCCGCTGGGAAAGGATGTGCCAAAGGATGAAGCCCAGTTCACCAGACTCTTTTCAAAAGCTTTAGTAGGCGGGCAGAAGTCACAAGGAGATTATCGTTCAGGCTCCGGTTTTCACTTTAGCAAGGCATTTTTTTCCACTTCCCTAAAACATGCAAATTGAATGGCATTTAAAATATTGAAACCAATTTTGGTGTTTAAAAATAAACAACTTAAAGATTTATTCATATTTTCTTTACAACCATCAGCAGACCAATTTAGAATTTATTTAAAACAGACTATTTTAAGATATTTTTTCTATCCATAGTTTTGGTTTTTTGGGTGCGATTAACAACAAAATAATTGTATTATTGTATTGTTTATAGCTCATATTTTATGAACTAAATATAAGAGAAGTTTAAGGCTCTTTTAAAATATTAGGTAACTTAACTTCACACCATTTTAAAATATGTTTATATTTTAATTTCAACATAGAGTTTAATTTCCGCAAGATATAAGAAATAATGTAATACGAATAATTAATAAAGGCGCGCTTTTAAAAAGATGTGAAACAATTGACCGAGGGAGCATTAAATGTATTACATAGTAATTAAAAAAGCGTTTGAAAAATCAAAGCAGTCATAATTTGTATGAGTTTTTATACCCTTGCAGAGGGTATTATAATTTCAGTCAAAAGTTTGCAACGCAGTGAAGGAGACATTTCCGACCCTATAAAGTATATATATTCTTGATCAGGATCACCTCCTGAGTTGATATAGCCATGTCCGTCTGTCCGTCTGTCCGTCCGTCCGTCCGTTTCTACGCAAACTAGTCCCTCAGTTTTAAAGCTATCTGCTTGAAACTTTCCCAAAAGTTGTCTTTCTGTTGCAGGTAGTATATAAGTCAGAACGAGCCGGATCGGGAGACCATATCATATAGCTGTCATATAACTGAACGATCGGAAAAGCCATAACCTTGGTGTTTTTAAAGTTAGGAAGTTGGGATTTTCTATAAGTTTTATTTTTGGTCAATTAATCCGACCTACCGAATTTCATAAGGATCGGACGACTATATCCTATAGCCGCCATATAACTGATTGATCGGAAATGCCATAACTTGGGTGTTTGTAAAGTTAGGAAGTTGGGATTTTCTATGGGTTTTATTTTTGGCCAATCAATCCGACCTACCAAATTTCATAAGGATCGGCCGACTATATCCTATAGCTGCCATATTACTGAACGATTGGAAAAGCCATAACTTTGGTGTTTTTAAAGTTAGGAAGTTGGGACATTTTATGAGTATTAAGAATACATCATATGAATAATTTTGAAGAATATAATTTACAGAATATTCTGCAAGGGTATATCAACTTCGGCTCCGTCCGAAGTTAGCTTTCCTTTCTTGTTTTAAATATTTTTCACTTTTCAGATAATTGGGGGAAAATGGTTTTCAATACAACTTAACTTCCAAAAACCATGATTGAATGACTTTTATTTCTCCCATATTTTCAGACATAAGGTGTCATAATATTTTCGTACCCCCCAAAAAGTCTTTCACCTCTTACAAAATTGCCATAAACGGAGCAAAGTCAACGTTCTCTATATAGATTGTGTTACACAATCAGATGCTGTTTGTGCCCCTTTGGTAGCGCCTGAATAAAAACGTTTACCCAGAACCCGAAAGATACAGAGACCTTAATTAAATTTTGTGTTGCCTGAACAGGAATTTTGGTTCGTTTCGGTTTCTGTGTTAACTTGTTCTAAGTACGCTGCTTTTATGACCCACACAGGGCTCCAAGATGATGATTATGATGGCGATGGCTATGGTGGTGGACACAAACGGACGAGTTTCACAATTTGCTCGCGGGTTTATCATGTCCAGAGTGCGTTTTGACCTCTTGGCGAGTACGTGCCTGGCCTCAGAGTGTGACAAACTTGTTTCTTTTCATTTACTTTTTTTTTTTTTTGCCGGGTAACAGAGTAGTGGCCTGTAGTTGTTGCTTTTATGACTTAATGCCGCGTACGCCGGGCAATTTCAATTACATGGCGAACCCAACGGGCCGCCAAACGGTTTACATGTTAACATGGCTAAGACAAGCAGATATAGAGCAGCTCCCCAGCACTCCACCACTTTCATTTCGGGATGGATGAATAAATAGAGAGGGAGCTCCATGGTGTTGTAAGACCTTCGACCGCGGCCAGGTGCCAAAATTTGACGGGCGAACCCATAATTTATGCCCAACAAACCCCGAAATGGAGGAGTGGGTTTAAGTTGACCTGGCCTTAGAAAAAGAGGAAGCCAGGCTGCGGCACGTGGCTAACTTTATGATTTCTCGCCTTAGACTTGGTTGAACAAGGGAGCGGGTTCTTCTTGGCTGTATCTTAACAAGTTGCATGCATTTTTGATGACCCTTTTCGAGGTGGCAACTGGAAATAGACGGAATTTAATCAAGCTGCAGGTGCAAAGAGCCGAAATGAAATCTAAGGCAAATAGGAGCACAGTTTCGCAAGTCATACTCGCTGCAACTGGGGAAACATTTTTACGGAGTACAACAATTTTTAAATGAAATATGGCAAATTTACATAAGCCCAATTTTAAATAATAATTTAAGTAAAAATTTAAATCTTCTCTTTTTTCCATATTCCCTTTCAACAAAATGTTTTTCAAAAATTACTATTAATTTAACAAAATAAATAACTTCTGAAGAACATATTTGATTTTTCTTTCTGACGAAAGAAAAATTTGATTTTTTTAAGAACATATTCAATATATTTGGTATTGACCCTACAAATAATAGTAATTTTTGTTTTGTTTTTTTTTTCAAAAACTGATAATATTTATATTCGTTTACCATTTTTAAAATAAACCCACGGAAAATCCGTTAAAAGGGTTTGTGTCTAAACATTTATCGAAGGTTGAGTCACAGCTACTTTTTTACAGAGCTCCGAACCATATTACGCGGCTATAATAGCGAGTGCATACTCCGTACGTAAAGAAGAGTTAGTGAATACTCACCCCGCTGCTAGCGAGTGCAGATACCAATTTATTTCCAGGCACAATACCCTTCCAAACACCAATTATTCGAATCTGTTATGCTTTAACAGTTAAGTTGAATAAATGTATTTAATCCCAGATACTAAATAAAGAAAATAATATTTGTATTTCTTAGTTATATACGTTTTATATTTCGGCATTTAGATATTTCTTAAACCGCTAAGATCAAAGTGAATGAACTGGAGTGAAATTTTCGAAATGGAAAAACATCGAATGTGCCCGGCCAAATATCGATATCATCAACATTTTGAAAACATCGATTACCTCTATGTTGGCATCGATGGGCTTCCACCCCTAGTCGCTGAAAAAAATTTAACGGTTGTGGGTGTGCGTACGTATCGGCTCTTCGATTGTTTGCGGTAGCAAGCGCTTTAACAAAACTCGTAAAATCTGAAAGAACCCGCAAATGCTCTTCGACTTGTGACTCGAAGGGCTTTTTGAATAAAATTCGAAATACAAAACGAAGTACGGCGGCAAACAACTTGTAATATCCTTGGAACTTGTTGTTGTTGTTTAACGCTTGTGAGAATATAAATAAGAGGAGGAGAAGAAGAAAAAGAACAGCCAAAGTGTTTTCCTTTTGCGGTGAAGTGAGAAAGATAAAGAGAGAGAGAAGATAGAAGCAAGAAGCAGGACCAATTACTGTTATCAGCGACCCGGCAATAACCAAAAATCATGTTGATCTCGTGCAAATGCTCGAATTTCGTTGCTTCGACTTCGAAATTGCAGCGCAGCAACAGCAGCGGATTGGGAGTGGGAGGCACCGGCGCGACTAACGGTAATCCTGGTTCCAGCAGTACGCCCAATGGCGAAGTCCCGCTCTCGATCCTCCTGTCGCAGGTGTTTCAGCAGAATTATCCACGGGATTTCTCCTTCTACAGCCAGTTCATGGACTTCTTTAAGCACGTAAGTCAAACATAATGTACGAACACTATATAGTTCGTCACCCGATTATCGCCCATTGTGCAAGAGCGGGATGGAACATGTATCGATTGTGGGGTAGGCAAAAATAACAACAGCGCAGCATAAAAAGCAACAACAATTGGGCAAAAGGCCTATGTTGGGCCACTAGTGCGCGCTCTTTCGCTCTCTTTGCGGGATAACAGTGGACCTACGATAAAAACGAAAGGGGGAAACCAATTAAGATAACATCAGAAAAGTTCACCTTTAATAATAACTTGTTGAATCCAGAATTGAAAAGAATGTTTTTACAAATCTAGGCCTTTTAAATAACACACAAGAATTTAAAACTTATACTGAGCTAACAAATGGCTCCAAATCGTATACGTTATTTTCCAAAAATTTAGAAAACTTATTAATCACATTATAATCTATATTTTATTCAAAATTCCATTAAAGTAAGAGAAATAAAGGGAAATGGAAATAAAAGCAGTTTATAGAAATGTTCCTAAGCGATTACTATACAATCATAAAATGTGTATGTGGTATAAGCACATAAGACCAACAAAATAGTATAGTTTGGATTAACCAGGGTAATTGTTAAGCGAATCTCACTGTATTTGCATTGTATTGTGCCGCGATATGTGTCAGTGTGTGTGTTTATTATCGTTCTTTATGCTTTGTGTGCCGGCCTATGGCTTTTGCTTTTGCCTTTGCTTTTTGCCGTTTCTGCCTGTGCCGCCTATTCTCACACACACAAAACAAACATAGGCCTATATAGCCCTGGAATCGGGAATTGGAATGGGAATGGAATGGACGGGGATGGTCTATTGAGGGATGTAGGGAATAAGGAAGGGCAAGAAGAAATAGGGTCATCCATTCGTTCATGGGAAAAGGAAAATCGTGAGGAGTCCTCACATTCTCTGGTTTATTTTCGGCCTGCCCAGCCAAGTGCAACTCGCATCTTTCTTCCGCTCCTTCGTAACCCCCTCCTCCCGCACCTGTTTATCATCCGCTCCTCCTTTTCACACAGGAACACCCTGTTTTTTCGGTTCTCTCTTTGCCAACCTGATCGCCGGTATTTTTAGTTTCCTGCGTCAGCTTCTGTTTTTACTTTTCCCCGTTTTTATTCGCTTTTTTTATGATTTATGCGCTTTTGCTTTTCATTTGTCACGCCCTCAGTTGTAAGTAATTTGCATAATTTCGTTCGGACATTTTCGGATCCCCAAAAACGTCACAAAGTCGCTAAGGGGTGGGACATTCCCGTGCATTCAGGGGTTAAGTGAACTGGGTTCATGTCATAATTTTTGCCATTTTGAAATACCGAAGTTGAAGGCTTAGGAATATATGTATGTGTTCTCTTATATTTTGGGAATGTTTTAGTTTATTTACTTCGTACCTATTACCTATACCTTATAAGTGACACAAAAACGTCTTTGGTAAATACTTATTGCTGATTTCATCAAACAATATATATATAATTTATAGACCCCCCGCAATCGCCTTTCATTAGTCATTACTTATCAGTCCCTTGTTGCTTACATGCATAGGTTATTATATTATTTTATAAGTCGTATTTTTGATCTTATCATAACCAAAACAAAAGTGTTGGTATCTCCGTTTATTAATTTGAACATCACAGACATTTTTTATAACACAAGTTTTTGGTCGTGTCGTCATAAGTTTTCATTAGGAATTGTATGTTGGCTTCAATGTAAGACAAAATAATTTGTTCCTTACTGGTAGCACTATTCATTGATTACGAGACACACTCTTAACCTTCTTTGAAAAAAGAAATATATTGTTATTTGAGTAAATAAATGGCGCATTGGGGCAAAAAAAGTTTCCATTAGAAATTATTTGTTTAGGTTCATAAATGGTTAGTTAATGGTTAATTTGTATCAAATTATGTGCATAAATTGAGATCATAAATATGTGTATCTATTAAGAAAGTAGACTGGTTCTAAAGTAGTTGACATTTGCAAGCAAATAATACTTTGGACTCGCTGTATAAGAAGTTTCCTTTGGGAACCCATCTCACCTGACTCTTTCAGCGTGTAATGGTTATTATTCAATTGTACGTTATTTTTCCATCTTTATGATTCTGGTTCTGCCTCGAGCGAATCCAAAAAAAATCTCTGCGTCATCGTCGTCTGTCTTGTCCACACTTTTCAAGGTTAAATCTCTCTATCCCCCCTTCTTTCTCTCTGTGTCTGCTTTATCCCCTTCTTCGACGACGACTCTTGTCACATTTTGACAGCCACTGAGCTAAGCCGGAGTTTGACAAGAAGTGGGTGGAGGGTGCTTTTCCCACTATATTTCAGTTGAGTTTTTAACGACTTAGTTTAATACCTTGAAGGTTCCAAAACACGTAGTCTATAACTTGAACAACTTTTTATTGGCAACAGAGTGATAGAACTTAACCAATTCTGCAACTAAAAGTATCTCTAATTACATTTTTGTTTTTTGGAAAAAAGTAGGTAACGTTTTTGGAAGTTCGACTCTTATTATTTTTAACAATTGGTTATCGCAGTGATTACACATTACCCCGCTAGACCGCAAAATTGTAATTCGAGTGGCGTATTTGTTGTAATGCAAAATTGAATTGTTCAATACAGCTAGGTCTTGTTAGTTTATGTTGTTGTGGCTTGGAGATCGTCCGATATTGCCACTATTGTTGTTTTTGTTGCTTTGTGTTGCACCCACTTCAAAAGCGCTGAGGCGTACAACAATAGCAGCAACAATTCAGACAAATAGACCAAAAGTGTTATTTTGAATAATTCAAAGCTCAAAACAAAACAAAAATCAGAAGAAAACAAGATAAACAAAAGTGTGGGCAACATCGAAAAAGAAATGCCCTATCATTATACAATTAATAACATTAGAACTAATAGTTTTAAGGATTTGCAAAGCTAATTTTAAAATGATTTTTCAATATATTTATTTAAAAATCAATATATTGTTTTAGTTTTTAAGGCTATAAATAAAAAAGTGGTCTTTAACCCTAGTTGAAAATTATTGAGCTCATAAAACTTTAGTTTTAGCTTAACAAAATTGCAGCTGACGATTTGATTACCCTTAAAATTGGCATCCAAAAAGTATCTCACAAATGACAAGCAAATTTCTGTATCACTCGGGGTATAAATTGTATTCAAATACACAGCATAGCACATATCCCATATGTATAATGTATACGTATGCAAGCCCGTGTGTGTACATATTCTCTATATAGAGCCAAAACGGAACGCTTTTAGAATAAATTACGAAACCAGCGACAAAATACAAGCAAGAAGTAAAAAGCACAAAGAGCGGTCGAGGAGTGGGCGCGGAGGAGGGGGTGGTGAGCGGGCGGAGGGAAAGACGAAGGCAGAGGAAGAACAACAGCCGAGCCGAAATACAAAACAAAAAAACTTGTTTATAATTTTTTCCCCCATCTCTGTGCAGTATGATTGTGTGTGTGTGTTGGATAAACAAGTTTTCGAGATTTCCAAATGCGGCCGGCCGGGTACTGGACCGCCGTAAACTCGATGGAGTCCGGGAAGAGGTAAAAGGGGGGCTTCAAAAAGCCCATTGGGCGCAAACAGAGGGGGAGTTTCTCTGAGATCCGCACGCGAAAAAAAAACAAACTATATCAGTACCCAGCTTATCGAAATAATCTTTGTAGAAAATCCTTTATAAAAAATTACTAAAGAATTAAATAATATAAAATAAGATTGGCGAATCCTTTTTAAAAATGGGTCAGTTGGTGTTACAAGATCAAGATCCCTTTATTGGTGATCCTTTTAAAATACAAAAATGTTTCATATTAACTCTATCAGTCATCGGAAATTTACAAATAACTAACATGAAAATGGGTCAAAAAATTGATCAACGTTAAAATTAAAAATTTTAACACAGATTTTTTGAGAATCAAAACATAAGTTGTTAGAGGTATGTCACTTTAGAATCGGCTTAAATTTGATAAAATTATGGACTCCAGAAGTTCAGTTTTGGGTCACTTTTTTACAAGGTTTTATTGGGTTGTAAATGTGCCCTTCACTGCGTTGCAAACTTTTGAATTTAAATATAATAACCCTCTGCAAGGGTATACAAATCCTAACCAGCAATCTATGCTGAGTTCCGAACCAAATTTTGATGGGTAATAAAAAAATATTAATATTTTTTCCTATGTGTAGGCACACAAAAGACCCATGAGCACAATATATTCAAAGCCGGGTAGGGGGTCACTAAGGCACATACAGATGGCTGGCGAATGGTTTTTCGGACCCACTTGATGGACCAGTTGACAGTCGGAGCACCATCCCCCCTCCCCACAAAGCTCTCAACTGCGTAGGCCCCAAAATGTTTACATTATGAATTTATGCATAACATTTGTAGAAACGCTGGACGACAACATATGGATGTGATGGGCTATGGCAAGGCTATTTGGTTCAATTTTGTCAACTCGAACTTCCCCATGTTTTTTGTAACGCAAATTAAATTGACTGACAGTAGGGTGTTTCATATCTAAAACGCTCTAAGTATTACATGTGTTAACAATAAATTATAATTATAATTGTGTCCGAAAGCAGTAAATAGATTAATCTTACAAATGTAACGTCTTAACAACTAAATGCGGAATATCCATCATATTAATTAAAGGTTAAAGACTCTTAAACTGAAAAAAATACTCGGTTTTTATTGTACGCATATGCTCTTATCAATGTTCGATTCTCCAGCGCCCATACACGCACACATTCACACTCACACCTAGGCTTCTTTTCTAGGTTATCAAACGGTAAAAGCACGGCGACACACATACTTATACTCTCGCTTACAGATATATAGTATATATATATTAACCGATCGCTGCCAGTCGCGCTGTCGTCAGTCGATGTCTGCCTCTTTATTTGCCTTTAAAAATCGTTCATTTATGATTAGAGGTTTAATCAGTTAAACTTACATTCCTTTGGCCCTTTTCCTAAAATTCTGTCTCACCTGTGGAAATTGGCTAACTGAAAAAGCAC